CCCCAGCCGAGCTCCGCCTGGCCGGAGGCCCCGGGCGCTGCGCGGGGCGCGTGGAGGTGCTGCACGCCGGGAGCTGGGGCACCGTGTGCGACGACGGCTGGGACAAGAAGGACGGCGACGTGGTGTGCCGCATGCTGGGCTTCCGCGGCGCTGAGGAGGTCTATCGCATGGCCAGGTTCGGACAGGGTAAGGAGCAAAACGCGGCCCCGCACAGAATCCCAGATGGGGTGAGGTTGGAAGGGACCTCTAGGGATCATCCAGTGCAACCCCTGCTCCAGCAGGGACACCCAGAGCACGGGGCACAGGGGGCATCCAGGAGGGTTGGACATCTCCAGAGAAGGAGCCTCCACAGCCTCTCTGGGCAGCCTGTGCCAGGGCTCGGGCACCCTCACACCAAGGAAGTTCTTCCTCCAATGGACATGGAGCTGCCTGGGGTTCAGCTTGTCCCCGTTCCCCCTTGTCCTGTCACCGGCCACCACCGACCAGCGCCTGGCCCCATCCTCCCTACATTCTCCCCTCAGCTACTTGTCCCTGTTGCTCACATCCCTCTCAGCCTTCTCTTCTCCAGGCTCAACAGGCCCCGCTCGCTCGCTCTTTCCTCATCTTTCCTTCTCTTTTCTCAGAGAAGCGCTTTGCTTTTTCAGCTGGACACGACTGCCCGTGTCCCTTCTCCCTGTAGAATGGGAAGAAAAGCGCTTTAAAAACCCAGCGGAAACGTGAGCAGCGCGTTGGCAGGTGGAGCGAGGCCCTTTGCCACGCGCCGTTTGGTGGCGGGTTTCTGTTTAGGCCAGCGCTCCTCCCGGGTGGACCTTTAAAGTGTTGGAGCTGCCTCCCTTCCAACCGCTGGCGTTTGCCAAGGGAATGACAAATCCTCTCCCCAGGGGCCGTGTCCGTCTCCCAGCGGCGCTGGCATTTCCCGGATGCACGGAGGAGACCCGGGGCTCTTTGGACGATGCTCACAGCAAACGAGCTCATCCTCGTCCTTCACCCTGGTGTCAGCAAGACACCAGTGGCCGTCGTCTCTCCCAGACGGACGTTTTCTCACCGATCCCTTCACAAAGGGGCATCCGGGGGCTCACGGTGGTGTTTTATTTCCCCAGGCACGGGCAGGATCTGGATGGACGACGTCTCCTGCAAGGGCACGGAGGACAGTCTCCTGCACTGCAGCTTCTCCAGCTGGGGCAAGACGAACTGCGGCCACGCTGAGGACGCCAGCGTCAAGTGCCTGGTGCCCTGAGCGCCCCGACGCTCTGCCCTTCGTCCCGGCACGGGGACGCCCCGGCCTCTTCCTCGCCCGGCGCCGGGGCTCGCACGGGGCAGGCAGACGGATGGACAGACCCCCACAGCCGGGGGCGCTTCCTCAAGTGTTTTATTAGAGAAATAAATACCTTTTCGGGATGGTTTTGGCGGTGCGCTCTCGCCCGCCCGCGGGGACGCAAGCAGCGCCCTCGACGTTGCTTTTTAAAAAAAAATAAGGCGAGAAAGCCATTTCTCCACATTTTGGGGCGGCTGGGCTTTGCCAAAGGGTCTAGCCAGGGGAATCCGTGTGCAGCTCCGTGCTGGCGGGTGCCGGGGCGGCTCCGGGCATCGCTGCGGGGGGCTGCTCCCGCAGAGCCAGGCCAGCCGCCGCGCCGGGCAGAAACACGGCGTGTTTTGGTCTGGCGGCGATGTCGAAATCTGGGTGGGAAGAGAAAAACATCTCAGGGTGTTTCCTGAAACCGAACACCGCGATGATGCGGGTGCTGGCCGGGATGTAACCGCGGATGGGTGATGAAGCGCTGTTACCGCCCCTCCCCGGGGCAGATCCTGCCCTCGAATCTGCTTTTGGTTACAGGTTACGTGTCCTGTTTGGTCTCTGCGGGAAGCGGGGAGGCCGTCGGGTCACAGAAACAGCGGCTGCAATGCCAAGAAGAGAGATGTTGGGGACCCTGATGCCCCCTCCGTGTGCCCCGCTATGGGTTTGGGAACCCCAAGAGACCCAGATGGGGCCTTGGGGACCCCAATGCTCCCCACGTGCCTCCCTATGTGTTTGGGGATCCCGATGCCCCTCCCAGGCCCCCCTATGGGTTTGAGGACCCCAAAAGTTCACTACACTTCTTTACGGGTTTAGGGATCCCGGTGCCTGCCCTCTACTCACCTAGTGGTTTGGGGACCCCTAAGAGACCCCCCCAAAGGGCTTGGGGCCCCAGTGCCCTCCCGTATCCCCTCTATGGGTTTGGGGAACCCCAAGAGACCAGCCCCACTGAGGCCTCAGAGCCCCAAAGGTCCAAGTTGCTCCCTTATGGGCACCCCCATATGCCCCCCTGTGGGTTTGAACCCCAAAAGTCTTGGGGACCCAAATGCCCCTCTTCCCTCCGCCATGTGTTTGGTCATCCCCAAGAGATCTCCCCAAGGCCTGTGGGATCCCCATGTCTGCTCTGGCCACCAAAGGGTTGGGGGATCCAGTGACCCCCCTGCCTTGCCCCTCCATGGGTTTGGGCATCTTCAAGAGATACCCCCCCCAGGCCTTGGGGCCCTCAATGTCCCCCATTAACCCCAGCTGGCCTTGGGGACCCTAATGTCCCCTCTCTATCCTCCATTGGATTTGGGGGACCCAATGCTCCCGTTCTACACCCACTACGGGTATGGGCATCCTCAAGAGATGCCCCAGGCCTTGGGGCCCTCAGTGTCCACCCCTCAACCTTCCCCAGCCGTGGGAACCCCAATGTCCCTTCTCCATCCTCCATTAGATTTGGGGGACCCAATGGCCTCCTTCTACTCTCCTATATGTTTTAGGCATCTCCAAGAGATCCCCTCCAAGGCCTTGGTGACCCTGATGTCCCCTCTATCCCCCAATGGGTTTGGGGGAGCCAGTGACCCCCCTCCATGCCCTTCTATGGCTTTGGGGACCCCCAGGAGACCCCCGCAAGGCCTCGGGGACCCCAAGGTCCCTCCAGGCACCCCATGGGGACCCTAATGTCCCTCCTAGTCACCCCATGGGGACCCCTCTGCCCCCACCCCCATTCCCGGGCCACCTCCTTGGCCCTGTCCCCTAAGCCCCGCCCTCTCGTTCACTAGAC